ATGCATATATAACTTTATTCAATTGCAATTGCGAGATCGAAAACGGAAAGGACTACGTTCACCCCGTTAACTCTCTGCACCACGTCCTTTTTGTGTATTAATAGGAATTAAACGCTTCAATTGTAATATTAAAGCATTCTAAATATAGATCATGTGTGAGTGGTGCAACTAAATCAAAAAATAATTGAGGCAGTACGTATATTTTCCTAGCTAAATCCTAGGAAATTTATTATAAATAATCACATTCTCATACTTCTTTCTTTTTTTTTGTATTCGTTTACTGTACATACTCTTCGATATTCTATATGGCTCATTTGACATCTTCAAAAATAACAGCTTTAGCACCGCCTTCTTTAATTTCCAACTATGCATGTATGTATTTATTATACGCTTATTAGGAAATCACCTTTCCTCGTTTCGCTTATAGTTCTTTTCTTCTTTTTAGTTTATTAATTTAATATTATTGATACAACACAGAAAGAAAAAATAAAGAAATATTGAATCAACAAGAGTAAATTAAAAACGATCATCATCATCGTCATTATCATCCAACGAAATCTTACATTATTAACACTTTTTTCCTTTTATCTTTGTTTCTCTTTTTTTACTGTTATTTCGTTTTGTTTTACCGTACATGAATTTCTTATCTTTTCTCTTAATCCTTTTATTTATATTTATATATGTATAAGAGATATCTTATTGTTTTCGCATCATCGACCATCGCGATCGTACAACAAAAGTATATGTGCTTTTCCTATACACATATTTTCGATGATCTTCGATACGTTCCACTTTTCGTCTATTTTTATCTTTATTTCTTTGCTTATCCCAAGACAAGCCCAGCCATATTGAATTTTTAGCCCGATCTTGTTCTTCGACTTTATGAATCTTCTCTTAATTCATTTTCAAATTCGTCCCGTTTATTATTCGTCATTGACGAATGGTTTGTTTCTTTTCTTTTTTCGTTTGTTTGGTTTATTTTTGAGCATAACAGAACGTAACAGCAGAGTACTACTGAGGGTCCGTCAAGGAACGACCTCATTTTTTAACGATTCTGGTATATATATATATCATATTGTAACTGTTTTCATTTAAAAAAAAAAAGAACAAAGAAAAAAAATTTATAAAGCCAATTAGACATCGTACATACGAATGCGAATATTATTATTTGTTAAACCCAACACAACAAATCGTTGTATGCGATTATTCCATTCTTTTCTTTTTTTTTTAAACGCATTTACGTTAACATTAAATACATATTGTGGATGACGAAGAGAAAAGAAATGATTATAGAAAAAATTTTGCAATTTATCATCAAAGCGTTGTACTTTCTTTTCTTTTTCTAAATAAAACTAGCACCAGATAAGAACAAAACAAAAAATAAAATTAAAAAAAGAAAAAAGAAAAATTAAAAAAAAAAAAAAAAATAACAAGAACGAACCAAATAAGATCAATCACATAGTTATGAACTAAACAAGAGTATTTCTTATATTTTAATATTATATATTCACAGAAAAATTCTCCGAATATAGAGAATCTGATCGCCGCACTACATATTATTTTCCTATCTTGAAAAGGATCATACTTCCGGACGTAGTATAATCTTACAAGTTTATAAAATTAAATATAAAAAGTGAGGCTAATATTTGAGCACACAGTATGAAAATAAGTTTTCACTTGTAAAATACGATTTTCAATAGTAAGAATGTCGTTCGATGCTTAGAAGGACCTAAGTTGCTCTTGTTACACAAGTACGATGAATCCTGTTAACCCGTCGAATCAGAATTTTGCCCTGGGCTTTTTCAAAACGCGGACATTCACATGGTGTACGATATACGCTTACATATTTATATATACATATATCATAAACACATCCATATGTATATATATATATGTGCATGCTATGGTACACATATATATTCTATATCCTATGAAATGTTTTGTGGCTTAACTGGGCCACGAAATGGAAAGGAGGCGATGATATAACAATGCGTGTCCGTTATCTGATCTAATCGCAAGGAGTGCTTTCAGCTTTGATCTTGCGACAGTGCACCGTATTTATTCCCGAGAGAAAGTTTAGGTGTTTGAGCTTGAGATTCTTGCATACTGTAAGATCTGCTCCCACCACGATTGCGAACCTCCTCGAATGTACCTTCTTCTCGTTTCCTATACATATATATATATATATGTATATGTATACATATATGTATATATATATACATATACATATATATAGTTACGTTGTTTTATATTAGAATAAGTAACAATAATTCAATTATAGCTCATAAAGTTTAAAATTAATTCTTTCCCTTCATTAAAGTTGTTTAAAATCAATGGATTTATGTATATACGTAGATATACTAATATTTGAAATTACTTCCAGTTGTATAACAGTTGATATATCGTTAATAAATTATTACGTAAAAAGGGGACTCTTAATTCTACAGATTAAGAGTCTGGTGTTTATTAATTGTTTATATTTTATATATACAGTACGTAAGAATGTATGCATAGCTTAATAAAATAATTTTTTTTAAACGCTTTCTGGTTTATGAAGATAACGGTTAAAGAGTAAATCAACAGTCAGTTATCTGGAACTTCGACGAGAAAGAATTAAAATAATTGATTTTAGTTTAAGTAAGCTAATGAATCATTACCGTCGTCCCCATGGACCAGTGGATTCATTGTTCTGTGGCTTGGAACTCAATGTTGGGAAATATTCTTCGCTATGAATATCAGGTGCAGCATTTTTAGCTCGTGATCTTGGAGCGGAAGAAGTCATTGCGGTAGGATTTCTCAAATGGGGAGGTACATAACTGTGCATCGATGTTGGAGCTGCTGGTGCAGCAGTAGTTGTAGTTGTTACAACTTCTACCACTTCTTGTTGTTGTTGCGGCACCTCTGGTTTTTTCCATGGTCCACTTTTAGCTGTATTCTCTCCAGTTTCACCATCAGAACTATTATCACCGGTTCCTCTTTCATCATCTGATTCCACATCAATAGTTTCTTTTACAGAAAGGTTTCCAATTTTCAATCCTCTCAGATCTTTTTTCTCTTCTATCTCGAATTCCTTCCATTCGTCTTCATCCTAAAATAAAATATCTTCTTGGAGAAATTTTATAAGAAATATTTGCAAATATAATATGCAACTAAAGTATTGTATAAATATCAAACTGCAATATTTTTGTATAATATTATGCAAGATTTCGGAGACACGTATGTACACGAATAAGAATATAATACTTAAATAACATTCGTCAAATAAATAATTATATTAGCGGATAATAAAAAAGAAAAAATATATATAAGGAATAAAAGAAACTATATATATATATATACATATAAAAATAGATACGAGCTATCAATTGTTGATCACAAAAAAATATTCTTAAGTTGTATCGAAATCGATTAGAAAATTTAAATGTTAATCATTGAAAATCGGCTTGTTGAAATGTTACGTGCCAGACTTTATCGTCCCAACTGTTATATAATATCATCGATTTGATTTTCTTTCGAGTAACATTAAGTTAGAAATAATATCCTCCCGGTGTACTAAAATTCAAGAAAGCCGATTTAATTTTATAGACACGTTCGTAAGAGACTGAAGTGACGTTTGCACGAGCAAACATGGCAGCGACCAGTGTCCTCTTAGCCTGGTTCTTTCCCATAAAGGAAGAGTATGTCTAATAACCAAAAGTCACTAATTTTTTTTTTTTTTTGTAATATTATCAATAAATCACATGCAAATGTGATCACCTCAATTTGTTGAGTTTCCTCGCCCTCAGGATTAATTGTTTTTTCTTTAGATTTCATTTTTTCCGTACGTTTACCCGTTTCTTCTAATTTTTTCGCAACCTCCTCGGTCGTAGTAAATTTTTTACCCTTGGCTTTCTTCCGATCCTTTTTCGCAAAAAAATCATCTAAATCCGCCATGATTTCTGGTTTTTTTTTATTACTTCTAAACAAAAAGATCCTCCCCCGTTAAACTCTTACCGAGTGAACTTTGGAAATGAAAATATATTATAACGGGGGGTAGAAACGAAATACTACACGAGGCACGGCCGTAAAGCGTACTGAACTCAGAGCACCCCTGCTGCCGTCCACATGGGCTTGTCTTTACCGGAAGTCAGTCAACGACTCAACTCAATTATCTTTTTCCATTTACATTTAAATATAATATTTATTTATTTCAATAATAAATCACGATCTTAAAAATAATTTAATTGTCTTTATAATATTTATATAATCTCAGCATTTTGTTATTTTATTTGTTAACAATTTTAATCATATTAAAAACTTTTCAACGATCCAAACGAATGGTGCCGCCATCTGTCTAGCAGAAGACCCTTACAAAAAATACACGGATTACTTAACCTAAAAATCTTCTTGCGTACGTTATACTTAATTAAATTCTAATTCTGCTTACATTATGTTTTATAAATTTTTTAAAATTAATATCTCTCGATCCACATTTTATTTCATTTTGTAAACGATTATTAGAAACATATGTGTACTTGGTAATATAAGAATGACTTGTGGAGGTTAATTATTCCTCTTTCTGGTCGATGGTAGATGACACTGTTAGTCGAATCGTCACTTCCGCATTACAAGCACGACACTCGCGCATTACTGCACTCGATGTTATAGAAGAACATGAATGGATTGAATTACATTAAAGTCGATTTAAATAAATCGTTATTTGATCCATCTTCTGATATTGTGCGAGGCTTTTCTACCATTCTTCTTTCATTTATAAATAATTTTTATTTATAGAAATGCATTTATAAGTTCTTTAAACACGCGAAAATATTTTTACCTTATTAAATATAAATAAGCAAATGTATGGTATAATGTTAATTGCATTTTACAATATTCATATCATAAATTATTTAGGATATAAAATAATATTTGAAATAAATAAAACAATAATGTAGAGAGAATTCATGAAAATTTGTTAAAAGCAATTTAAATTTCCCGCCTATCGGTAGTCACATCGTCATGACCGTATCAACTTGTCGAACAGATTGCGCAGTCGCTCTGATGATATGTCAAAAAAAAAGAAGAAAAAAAGAAAAAAAAAAGAAAAAGGTGGAGTGTGTGGAACTGTTGGTAAGAAGTGTAGGAAGCCTGTCTAGAAAGGCAGCTCACTGGCTTCTGGTTTTAGTACGAATAATACGCTTGAACACGATAGTATTATTATTACTATAATATAATAGTATAAATTAAGACGATAATTTAGAAAGAAATAAAAAAACAATTAATAAAAATAAAATAAAATATATATATAACGTATTATATATTATTATAATTAAAAAAAACCAATAAAAATAAAACGAAGTGTTGTGTTTTATTAACGCGTATATAGCAATTATTTATTAGCGTTTATTTTTATGAGGGAACGAAGACAGAGAGAGAAAGAGAGTAAGTGAGTAAATGTGTGAGTTGTAAGAGGGGGAAAAGCGGTAAAGAAGGAGAGTGAGGGGAGAAGTAAAGGAAGAGAAGAGTAAAGAGGCCGTGTGCGCGCGAGACAACGTCCAAACGACGCGCGCGTCACGTTACGAACGTTACTAAACACGACCACCAGTGTTTATATCCCTGGTATAAAGTTAATGTGTTACGAAGAGCAACGAAATGAAGCTAACTCGAAAGTGTTTCGGAAACATCACCAAGATGTTGGACTTCTACTCGCAATTCAACCCCTCGCCGCTTTCGATAAAGCAGTTCATCGATTTCGGTGAGTTTGTATATCTACTTGTATATCTACTCTTACATATTCTTACGTACTATTACAAATATATATACGCACACATTTCCTTGTCAAAAACATTGACAAAGGTAGAAACAAAGTACAGAGACCTTTAAACGCATATTCATTGTCTTAATATCGAATCAAAAATTCATACTTATATTCCAAAGCTTTTCGATTTGAATTATTTTATTTTAATTGTGTATGTTTTTGAATTTGGTTTTTTTTGTTAATTTCTTTTTTTTTATTTATCATTTTTCCAAGGTTCATTGACAGAAACGACAATCTCCGAAGGTTAACGTTCGACCTTTTAATTTTTTTGTTCTATATCATCCCCTCCCTTATTTCCACCCCTTTTTCTCCTAATCCTCCTCTTTGTCTTACTACACACCCCAATCCTTCTTCTTTCCTTACATCACCTTGTATGAGTAAATTGTGTAAATGTATTGGTAAATCCTTATCCAATGTTCGATAGTCATATTATCAGAAAATGCACTTTCTATTTCGATACTATTACCACTACTACTACCACTACTACTATTGGATGAAATAGTTCTATTCTTGTTTTTAAATTTACGTATTTATTTACTTCTATATTGTATCTGTGTGTTTAAAGAGGACAGTATATAATTTATATGATTATTTTTAGGAATTTTATTACAAATTAGATACAACATAAATAGTATGGCATCGGTAACGGAAATGACTATCAAGTTTATGTATTTATCCAAAAAAAAAAACAAATTAAAATAACAATTATACATGTAATAAATGAACAGACAGAAAAAATACTCGTGACAATGTTTTCACGTGATTTCATATTTAAAATTATAATTATCAATTTAAATTGTTAATTGCCATTTCTTTCAATTCTCATCATATTTGAAATTGATTGCGTATAACTTGGCTAGAGAAACTGAAATACTAAGAGAGAGAGAGAGAGAGAGAGAGAGAGAGAGAAAGAAACGATAGTCAGATACGATGACGACGATGATGTTTATTTCTTTGGATGTAAACAATCTCTTTAACCGGTTTTTTTTTCTAGATAATGTATTTGTAAAATATGGTTTATTTCGTATACCATATGAGAAATTTTCTACTAGAAATATTAAACGGATAACGAGAATAATTTTCGGTTAACTATTTTATTAAAAAAAACAGTCATATATAGTTAATATGTATTAGTCATCATTCTATACTTCTAACAAAAGACATTTTTATCGGTCGGTAACATCTTGAGAATTATTTATTACAAAATTTTATGTTGTCGAACATGTCTCTTTTAATTCTTCCCAAACGTTTATTATAATATATTAGGTCTACCGCGGAAAGTTCTGCCCATTTTTAGAATAAAACAAAAGTAATAAATTTTCATATCTCTTTAATTGACTAATATTTATAAAGTATCATTATTTATAATTTCTTATCATAGTGTGATGACAATTTGTATATTGCATTTTTTAAAAATGTTTTATCCATAGAGACGAAAAATTGAACCGGTATTTCTCAGAATGGACAGAATTTTCCGGTAGACCTAATACTTACTGTCATTTTGTATTATTTTTTTTTTTTTTTCATTATTATTACGAGTTTAATTCCGTCAACTTTTAGGTTGCATTAAATTAACTGGTTAAAACATTAAAGAATAGGGATTGCGTATACGGATTAGATTAAAGTACCAGGTATGAATTTAATTATCTTTCAAGAGACAAGATATGAATTCATAAGATAAAAATTCATGAATTTTTTTAAATTAATTAATTTGAAATTAATTTTTTGATTTTAATGCATTTAAAGAATATAATTAATCGTAATAAAGTTAAACAAAAAAAAGTAGAAAATAAAAATATTTTCTGACGTCTCACGATAACATCTCACTTAAAGATTATTATTAAATATTATTATCGATTTTATTTCGTAGTATCTTTTGTTTCAACGTTGTAATATATTATTCACAAATTAGCTAGCAAATTATACTTTGCGTGTTTTTAACATGACGTTTCGAAACATACGATATTAATGTTTCGATGATCGTATCGAATCATACGAGAGATTCGCAATTACGTGACTTCGTTTGCTGCGTTGATATTTAATGATCTTGACATTTGACTGACTTAAATGATTAAAATCTTGACCTTTCTTTTCGTTTTTTGTTTTGTATTTCATTGACAATATATCTTTACTCATAAAGAAATGTTTCATTTGCATATTTAAAAACATGTATTTATATTTGTATGTGTTTCAATTTGTGGGTTTTGAAATTTAATATGTCGATCAATTATACTTTTCGTAAAAATTAAAACCTGCGATGACACATTGCGGTTTTTATAAAATAAAATTGATAAAACGTCTCCTTACTGGCGGTTCTAATAAGGAGATATTTATTTGTCGTGTAAACATTTTAACGTTTACGCTAAATCGACACTGACCGATGATAGAACAAACGTGCGATGATCGTTAATGCACGTGCTGATGTGAAAAACCCTGTTTAATCTTGGACCTTGTATTAATTGTCTTATCATTATTATCTTACATTATTCATTATTTTTAAATCCATAGGCCAATAATTTTAAATAATAATTATCCATTGTTGAAAATATATTATGTTTCAATAAATATTTCGATCAACGTTATTAAAGTTCGTATTGAGTATAAAATAAAGAATATTAGTCCTTTCATTTGATTGGAAAGAAATTATAATTATTTGTAGATTAAAAGAAAAAAAGAGTCACGTGATTTTTTTTGTAATTATTCGATTTTTTACAATTAAATGTTATATTAGGAAGTCTTCGATTATGTCAGCAAAAGTTCATATTAAGTAAATTAAAAAACTTTTAAAATGCAATTATTTCAATGTCACGTTTCCAATGAAAAATATTAGAAAATTTCAAACAAAATCAATTCATTTCTAATTGCTTTTTCAAATTAGATAAATTGTTTCCATTAAAATATGAAAGAAAGTCAATCTCGTGGAAAAGGAAATATATCTATGAAGAAACCTTGAAATAGGTTTCAGGTTTAAGGACACAGGAATATGTTTGCCGTTCACTTGTGTAGTGGGTCAAGGTTGACCAATCAGTAGCCGTGTTCATGTACCATCCCCCGTATTCTGGCGTTTTCATTGGCATTACGTCTCGCAAATATAGAAACGAAAGACACACCGTAATCATTGCACTTCTTTGTGTTCTGGACATTTGCCATGTTACTTGCTCGGTAAACTTCAGAATTCGTATGAACTCGTCTTCTTAAAAAATTCTTTGAATTATTTACTATAAGTAATAGTTAAATAACACCTACGATTTTGACGTATGTTTATTAGTATATACCTATACTATACATATTCTTATATATTTACATATTTATATATGTATGTATGTATGTATGTATGTATGTATGTATGTATGTATGTATATATATATATGATGTGTGTTTTTATAAACCAAGTTATAATCTTATTACTGGTATTCTTTTATCTATCTCTCTTTTATATGGAAAAGTTTCTTAAGAGTTGCAAAAAGTTTCCTTCTGTGATCACACTTTATAACTTTTTGAGAAGAGAATACATAAATAAAAATAATCAATGTAAATATTACAGAGTAGATACACTTTTATACTTAAATAATATTTTTTCTATCTATTAACATTATATTAATATTATTTTAATTTTAATATATTTATATAAATTTAATTAATATAACGTTCTATATTTCGAATAAATTTTTTTGTTATACTAATAAAATATTATTAAACAGCAGTTATATTATTATATCAACACTTTTACATTGAATAATGTCTTATTATTAATTTAGTTAATCACTACCATTTCCGATTCGTCTTATAATATATTTATTTACGGAAGAAAACTAACTTTTACGATGAAACGATCAAGCGAAAGGATGTGTCTATTCCTGGTTACCTTCCGAGAACGGATGTACACGTATCTATGTACACGTACAACACGCGCAAATACTGACACATGCACACATACATATATATATATATATATATATATATATATATATATATATATATATCTACTTTGAGTTTTTAATTAAAATCGAAAATATAATAATTTTTTTGCAGTTTACTTTCTTTGTTAGCTAAGCTAATTGCTCGGAAAATATTCTTTCGACTATAAATTTAATTTGCGTTATAGCGTTCGATCGATCCTCAAGCACTAAAAATAACATTTTAATTCTCACCATCGTTTAGTTTCTTATTATACAGAGTGAGATACCTAATTGTATCAACTTAATATCTCCATTGTTTTCAATCGTATTAAAAAATTATTTTAATGAAAAATTTTGCATCATTGTAGGAAAATGTATTATCCAATGTTTGAAAGAATTTTTTGTTAAAGTTATTTTTTTTTACAAGATATAAAGATCAACATTATTTTTTTCAATGGAATTATATATATTTTTCTATGTTCTTATATTAGTACATGCAAAAAACGAATAAAAATGATCTACATGATTATACATCATTCTCCGGTCATAAATTCTCAAGACATTAACATCCTAAAGATGATTACTTTGTCTACCTTGAATATTTGTTAGTAATATACAAAAAATATTTTGTACAGAACTTGTAAAGTACAATATGCGATAACTATTTCTTTTGCCGTAAATGGATGAGTAGAAGATAAATCAAGGTAATCTTCATTTATTTCATATGAGACGATCTATTTTTTTTTCTTACCGAACTTTATTTACGATAGCCAACAGTTTAAAGTTACAATATGCTATTATGGAAGGGTCATTCAAGGTCAACAAATGTGACAGTAAAATAAACATTTTAACATTATACATATATTAAATGCACGAAATTGTTATCATGTGATTGTGAGTCAATGTTATTTTAACAATATTATCCGATATCAGCGGACAATAATACGTGCATGCTAATAGTTATTTGTATATAACATCGCACATCATACACACGTACATGTATTTATATATAGATATAACCTGTATATGTATATTAAA